TCCATAGCAAAAACTTAGCAAGCAACTTTCATTGGTGTTGAGCACTGCTGAGAAAAGCTAACATCTGGTAGTCTGCTTGCTAAGTAAGCCACCCATATAATTATGATGGCACCTTCAACTTCACTACCGGCACAGCAACAAAAGCAGAAATCACTGCAGCAACACACACTTGACTAACAGATAAGATATCTAATACTCCATTTTTATTTAAACCAAGGAAAAAAATGTCAGTGAACTCTGACCTGTAAATTCGACCTTCCCGTACAAGTCCTGGATCTGTGGGGCCAAGCCAAGTTTAAACAGGTACAAACTGCAAAAAAATAAAAACACAGATCAAGTAATCAAGGGATGCATTAGAAGCGAGAGCTAGCTACTGAATTCTGTTCCAGGTCTTCTTGACAAAATCAGCAGTCTTAACGTCTGCTGGAGCGGTCAGTGAAAGCTGGTAATTTAGTCCTGTTCCTCTAATGTACTGAAAAATGACATAAAATCAAGCCAAGGTAAAAGAGCTGGTGAGCAAAACAGCCCATTAGTGCTCTAAATGACAAAAACCAGACACTTGTTGCAACATGACAACACCACAAGGAAAAAGGTTTTTTTGGGGAAAAAAAGAAGCCATAATTAATAAACAATGACAATGACCCAGAACTGCCAGCTAATGAGATGTCAGTTTCTGGTTTAATGAGCAGTGGAAAAGTAGAAAACAGCAGAGGCCTTTTAAAGACTTGTCTAGGATACATTAAAAGACCATTAGACTTGGTCTTCCATTTGCAAAATCGAAGCCTGTGAAACTAGCAGCGCAGAGATAAGTGTCAGTAATTATTTAAGTAAAGCTACCTATAGACAGGGCATATGATCCTTCATTTTCAATGGACTGGGGGGAAAAAAAGGTTTCTTTTATTCACTTCTCACTGCCTCATAGTGCCAACATATTACACAATGCTTTACAGAGTACACGCAGTCATTCACATCAGTCCCTGCCCCAAGGAGCATGCAATGCAATGTCTCTAAAACAGTCATGCACATTTGTGGCCTACATTATTGGGTTGTGAAAGCGGATAAAGCACCCAAGAAAACTATACAAACGCATGGAGAATATACAAATCCTGTGGAATTTGAACCCAGGCTATCCCTCTACCCCACTACAGTACTCAAAAGCTGTCATCAGTGTCACTCAATATTACCTGAAAAATGTTCAGGCCGTGATCATCTATGGTCATCATGGTTTATTTCTAATCAGCCAGTGATTTAGTGGTTAGCATTTCTGCCTTGCAGCAGTGGGGGTTCCCAATTCAAATCCCAGCCAGGACACTATCTGCTAGGAGTCTGCATGTTCTCCCTGTACATGCGTGTACTTCCTCCCAGACTCCACAGACATGCTGGAAGGTTAATTTGCTCCTGTGTAAATTGGCCCAGCATGCATGTGAGATAGGGGCCTTTGATTGTAAGCTCCTTGAGGGCAGGGACTGATGTGAATGTGAATGTTGTGAGTTATCCTACAAAGGATAGCTTGTGTCCACACTTCCACTGTGTCACAGTGGTCTTGGGGTCATCCGCTTCATACTTCGTTCAAGCTGCTGAAAGTATTTAATCAAGTGGATCAGGATGGGAGGATAAAAAACCATTGTCGGAAGCAGAGCTCGGCAAGTGCAGCTTCTTTCCATGTTTTTTTTAGACTTGGGTGTTGTTTGACAGGAAAGCTAATTAGTGCATTATTCTGGAGGTGGAAGGCTGAAACATATTCTGCTATAAATGCTGTCATGTTTCTCTCTTTACCTAGAGGTACAATTCATTTTTGCTAGTCAGAGATGTGTTGGAAGAGCTGTGTCATCTATGCTATTTTGTAGAAATGGCCATCCCTTATACCCATGTATCTTCTTCTAGTAGGAATGGAGCCTATGTCATGGTTTCTAGACTGTCTCACTACATGTACGACACCACCATTTAAAACCTACTAATACAAACTTCTCTTCAACACTTTTTAGCGGAAAAGGGTTATAACACAGTAGGTTCCTATGGTTGTATACACTGGGAAGATGTCTGGTCACTTTCTGCCCAGATGACCATACTTGAAGCTTGGTCGCTTTCTGCCCAGATGACCATACTTGAAGCCTGGAGGCTTTCTACCAAGATGACCATACTTGAAATCTGGTCACTTTCTGCCCAGATGACCATACTTGAAGCCTGGACACTTTCTACCCAGATGACCATACTTGAAGTCCTCTGCAGGGACAGAAAAATCAGCAAGAAATAGAAAAAAACAAAAAAAAACACAAATGTTCTAGCCCTTGCCTGCTCTACTTCAAAGAAACAAATTATAACAGAAATATGGTGAAGGAATGCCTACTGAAAATGCTAATGGCATTGCTATCATACTGACCTAACGGCTTTACTGCTAGATCTACTGACCCAGAACAAACATGCCAAAAATGACAGGTTTTTCACTCTTTCGGGTCCCAGTGACATCACAGGAGGTGAATAATCCCCACAAAAGGGGAGAACACAAACTCTCAAACTCTCAGCTAAAAAAAAATATCTAGACTTCATTTGGATTTGAATACAATTCAATCAATCTCTGGAAGAATTTATATTGCCTGGGTGACTAGAATATCTTAGAAGACTGAGATATAATCTGAGCTGCAGACAAAGAGCTGCCACTCCTTTTGAGAACCTTGCAAAGGCAAACAAGTTAAAACAGGATCTGTTGTAAAGAAGTGCATAGACACTGATATTTTGCCAGCAGCTGAGATTTATTCCATTTGTCTTTTTGGAAACATGCAATGATTCTCTAAAGGGGACTATTAACTAGGCCATACAAGCAGTAACAGAGCACATGTCTTTATTAACCCTTGCACATCACAGGGAACATTGAAGACTATAGTGTTCACACCGTCTGCCGAAGCAGTTACAAGGCAGTGAATGTCCCACCACCACAAGCAAAAACAAGACTATTAACTACCCAGCAACAATCCATGTCCAGACAAAGCATCATCAATTTGTGCTAGCCGTATCTCCTGACATTTACATTTGCAACCGCCTGACAAATTCAAAGAACTGCTAGAGGATAACACATGGTATATAGCTAATCAATCAGTCATGCAACTAATAGCAGCACACAAAGCTGCAACAGGGTTGTGGGCAAGAGGAGCACAGTACAAGATTTGCCCACTTTGTGGTCCAAGAGAGCAGCACCTACAGTACTACTTACAGTATGTTAAAAGCATCAAATGCTAGAGTTTAATTTCTGGCAAACAATTTGAGTTTTTATCCTGCAAAGCCAATAAGGCCAAGCTGCCCTAGAGTATGGGAGGAAGGGGGGGGGGGGGCTAAAAACTGATAAACGCACAAAAGGATTTAAAACATATTTTATTAACATCCATACAAAATAATTAGATAGAGCTATTTAATACAAAACTATACAGTCAAACACTCACACAGGATTTAGGTTAAAAATATAATTCCTACCTCAAGGCATGGATGCAGTATATACAACGGGGCATATTCTTCCGGTCATAGATGTCTGTAGTCTCAGGATAAAAGATCTACGCGTAATGACAGTTTACAATCATTTTAATTAACTGGAAGACAAGACATACAAAGTCAAAAAGACTCTTTAATATACTACCCAAACATACCTTTGGAAGGCCAATCTCTGACATTGCATTGAGCCACTGAATCACATTGTCTGTGTGCCGGAAGTGAAGGCCAGTAGCCTGAAGCAGAAGAAAACACACGCTTAATACCACAACCACATTCCACTATGGGGCCTGGTTTAATGGCGGATTGACAAAGAACTTACAACTAGATGTAGGCCAAGCAGTGGAAGTCAATGTTTTCGTCACTTCTGTGAGAATTAATTCTCCGTCATTTATTTTTCGATTTCCACATGAATTAAAAAAGTCACATGTATGACATGGACAAAGCTCTTTAGACCCCTTTCATACTGGCCGATCAGGAGGGCACCCAACAACAGATTCTCTCCTGATCAGAGCAGCACAGATTGGATGTCACCGCTGTGATATCCGGGTCCATACAGTTTTTTCCACCATCGCAAGAAAAAACTGAAAGTGCCGGACCCCATGCAAGTCTATGGGGAATCTGATGTAAACGGACATGTGTTTGTTTAAATCAGATTACCTCCGGTCCAGCACGATCTGGTCTGTCGAAACAGATCAATGGTCCATCTGTTTTACCTGGCTGAGCCGGAGCTAACTGGGTATAAATGGACACTTGTCCATTTAAACCCCGCTGCCTACAGACTTCCATAGAGCGTCCATTCGGGTCCGGCTGAAAAACTGATCGCTCATGTGAAAAGGGCCTTAAGAACCTAAGTCTAAAACTTCAAAATGCATTTAGCGATATACTGTAGCAATTTAGGCAGCAGCAAGGAGATTAAAATGATCTCCCCCCAAAAAGAACACATAAATATCCACCATTTTATATGCAAGAACAATGGAACTGAAGACATCCCCCAGTACTTCAATTCTGATGGAACAATACATATCAAAATCTAATTTCTGACAGTCTTTTACTCAGATGTAAATACTCTCGGTATGCCGAGAAATGTTTGGGCAGGACATCCTTATGTACACATCTGGAGCGTTTTGTTTGTATGAAACAAAGCAACATAATACTTTTATACTGTCCCACCACACTAGCAACACTTCTAAATTTTTGGTAAGGTCAGCACATGAAATAATCTATGGCCAACTAATTTACCCCTTGACACTCACAGTAGACTAAGGCAGTGCACGCTTTAACAAAATGCCATGCTGATATTACAAGGCAATTATGTGTGCAGATATAAACAATTGTATGAAAGTTAGAGAGTCACCAGCACACCAAAATCTTCATCACCAAAACGCATTTATTGACGTTGGTTGATCAAATTGCCTGATGAAGGGACTCTGCATGGTCCCAAAACAGGGGACATATCGGTTAGATGTGTGATGGGGTATCTGCATTGTGTACAATATGCCCTCTTGTAGCATAACACTTACACGATATCTGGTCTGTTCCCGATCATAGATTTTCTTTAGTGACACAACTTTTGGGCTAAAGAAGTTTCCGAGTTTTGCCAGGTAGACTCCATTTCTGAGACCCTCTTCAAGTTCTGTAGTAGCAGGTAGGTCCTCCATCAAGCAGGCCTCCATCCATCTGTAATACATTACCAGAAAACCATAAGAATTTTGGGTAAGGCACACATAATACAATTATGGAAAATTACAAAAAAAATAGATACTATTCATTTCAATTCAAAATCATGTTTATATTTTTCAAACAAAGCAACTTACAAGCAGGGTTTATGCTGTGTAGTAAAACGTTTAAACAGTTGTGTAATATATACTTACCTTTATTGCTCTGCTATTCAGGTCCAGTGCATTTGAATGTTTTTCATCACATCCTGCCATTACCTTTCCTCCCTGTGTGAAGAATTCATAACTGAAATCTATGGGTCCCAAATCTAACTATGAAAAGGGAGGAGGGGTGAGAATTGCTGGAGTACACTGGAGAAGGTGAATATTTATTTCACCCAAAATGGAATTGCAGGTTAAGTGGAGGTGATTTTTCAAGCTGTAGGGGAGGGTATATCATCCCAGACCTGATAAATAAATCCGTCCAGATTACGGTTTAAATCAGATACTGATCCGTTTTATGGATCTTTTTTTACCTTGTACATGGGGAAAATTTCTGGCAGTTATCCTGGCCATACACGTATTGATACAATTGTCCAATGAAATGCCTCTTTCAATATTCTTTTGAATCTAAAAATTACGAGTCTCCCCCACTGTATTTTGATTACTATCCAATGTTTTTTGTGAAATTATGGATGATGAAAGTAAAGTTGGATTGGTTGAAAAATGCCAATTGTTTTCAAACCACTTTCAACAACTTTCAACAACTTTAATCTGTAAGTAGAACTTTTCTTGTCACATTACTTTGTGTAAACTATCCCGAAATCGAATGTTAGAATTTGACACATTGGCATGGCAATAAAATGAAATCTCATAAGAAATTTGTTGAGTCCATGATGGTACTATTAAATGCCTTGTTATGGGTGAGGCAAATGAGGTATCCCTTGGAAGTCATGTACACAGATCGTACTGATGGGCTCAGAGAGATACAAGAAAACACTTAAATAACACAATACCCATAAATGTACCTAAAATGAAAACCAGTTTATGGAAGCCAGTCTTGTGATAGCAGTTTTTAGCATCTATACTTCTGTATAATGTATGCTTCAGATTTCTAATGGGGGCTTTGTTTAAAAAATAAAAACAATTTCACAGGTGCAAGCTATTTATAAGTGACCTGCACTGCCACGGTTCTATATTTAGCTTTTAAGACTTTTTTGCAGCTTAGCTATGGAGTAAATACAGATTGAAAAGTGTTCCTGTAAGTATAATTGCTGACTTAGAGGTGTGGCACCCTAAAAGCCTCAATACTGAATACGCAACTATACAAAGCCAGAACTGCAATCCAATTGAGAATCTGTTGCAAGTATTGAAAGTTGCTATTTAACAATGGTTTTCCTCCGAGCTGAGAGAGCAATTTTTTTCCAAGAGGAGTGGGCAAAAATAGCTGGTTTCAAATATACAAGGTGGGCAGAGATTGATCACAAGACTTGCAGATATTTTGCAGCCAAAGCTATTGGGTCAAGAGGTGAACATATACAGTATACAACAAATGCATATTTTGTTAATAGGGTTTAAAAGCGCTTCTGCAGGTATTATTGCCGACCTAAGACCCCGTGCACACTAGGGCGGTTCGGCCGCACAGATCCGCCGACATGAACAATCCCATACATTGCTATGGGGACCATTCATGCGATCGCTCGATCTGAACCGACCCCCGCCCGAACTGCTCCCTGCACTATTTTTGCCAAGATTGGAATGGGAGACAGTGCTGTGGTCAGATGAGACCAAAATTGAGCTCTTTGGCATTAACTCGACTCGCCAGGTTTGGAGGAAGAAAAATGCTGACTATGACCCTAAGAACACCATCCCTACAGTCAAGCACGGAGGTGGAAACATTATGCTTTGGGGCTGTTTCTCTGCTAAAGGTGCAGGCCGACTTTGCCGCATTGAGCGGCCAATGGATAGGGGCCATGTACAGTATTGAAAAATCTTGGATGAGAACCTCCTTCCCTCAGCCAGAATACTGAAGATGGGTCTTTCAGCATGACAATGACCCAAAACATACCGCCAGTGGCTCAAGAAGAAGCACATTAAGCACATTAAGTGGCCCAGACCTTCATCCTATAGAAAATTTATGGAAGGAGCTCAGACTTCAAGTTGCCAAGCGACAGCCAAGAAACCCAAAAGGATTTAGCGAAGATCTGTAAAGCTTCTAGACTGGCAAGCTTCTAGACTGTAAATTCAGTCAAACGAACAATAAAGGGAAATTTAAAAATTCAACAGAGCTTCCACATATCACTTTAGCAGCCTTAACAGTAGACATTGAAACTCAAATACAAACTACATGCAGCTGTTTCAGATCTTCAAGTAGTGGGACAAATGCTGCTTGTAATACACATAGTGGAGGCAGCGAAATTACAGATCAGACCGATGCACTCAACTTCCTATATCTGCCAAGGCTGATTAAGAAGAACTCTGGATTTGGCCAAATGACCATACTCTCAATTTATGAAGAGGAAGTCCTGCAAAACTAAAACAAAGCCATTAACAAAGTAACCACCAAGCTACAGGAGATAATGTGGAGGACATGAGAATACAAAATAAATGCTCAGAGATGTGTACAACATAACCAAGATGAAACTGCACGAATTGGTAGAACTGTCCTGAAAAAAACAAATATTGCTACAGTGCAACAGTTATAAACCAAACAGCTTGGTGAACAAAGTGACAGGGAGAGAATACAATTAAATGCCATCACCCACAGCTCTTCCTGAGAGGTAGGGCTGCACTTCAGTACCAGAGTGAAGATTCAGATCCTTACAAATTCCTCTTCGTGACTAGTTCTCTTTAAGGTATGGACTAAACACTGCAGAAGACCTCAGTTCAGAAACATCGTCTATGCTCCACTTATTACCCTAGCCACACAAAAAAAACACTATTATTATTAATTGGAGACTTTTGTTACCCTTCATTCCTACATATAGCAGAGCACTAATAGGCTGATAGTTTCTGCTGACAATAGAAGCACATTTATCTCTCCATTAAGTTAATGATTTTTCCCCAATTAAACTTTTCACCTGAGGGTGTTTTCCTGTCCGGAACTTTAGAAAGGCAGTAAGAATTATGAAAGAAAGAAAAAACCTTCAAAAGACGTTGCTTTGGAAACCAGGCCAGTTGTGCAGACTGGTCCTCTGCCAAGAGCAGATTCTTAGTATTAGACGGGCATAGAACTGGCTGCTATCTCAGGAATGGTAGCCTGCCAATTTGTTCAAATGGAAAAGATTTCTAATATTGCTTAGATTTACACAAGGAAATATTTGAGAATTAAAAAAGCCCTGCATCAAGTAGGAAATATTTGCAGGCAGAAATAGATAACACTGAATGATTGTCATCTAAAGACAGGCCAAGTACAGCCGATTAAGCATGATTTAGACAATTAAGTGACCATAATTTATCAGATGTAATGTGAGGCTTGGCAATTAAATCATTGTTGATAACACTTTATTTTGTCCTGCTATACAAGTATAGGATTTTGACACATCCAGTGTGCTAATGTCTAGATTTTACCAATGGCCATAGATGGGTGAAGTTTTGAATTATACCTTTGTGCTTCACATAGTTTTATATAGGGCTGCAACAACTAATCGACATAATCGATTATAATCGATTGAAAAAGTTGTCAACTTTTTCAATCATCGATTAATCGGCTTCCGATTGGTTGGCCCTATAAGGCTCCACACACGCTGCGTGCCGCACCTCCTCCCCGCCTCACGTTTGCCGCTGCCAGACCATCACGGAATTGCACATTTTCTTACTCTAAAGTCAGGTATACATGGTTCTATCCTTTTCGTTCAACCCGTGGGCTGAATGAAAAAAATAGAACAGATTCCTCCATCAACGCTCATGAGCCGATTGGCTGCTAGCTTCATTCGGCCGAGAATTTTCCAACCGGCTCCTTCAATCAACTCATCGAGGGATGCCGGGCAGAAGGATGCTGACAGCTGCACCCACGGTACAAATTTTGACCAGTCCATCAGGAACTAACCACAAATTTGAATAGTGTATACCTGACTTAACTCAAACTCTAAGGCTGGGTTCACACCTAGGCGGATTGAATATGCGCGTTTCGCGGCACGCGTTTTTACGATTTGCGGTAAAAAACGTGCGACAAACGCGCGTTTCCGAGGGCTAGTTGGCTGTTTCCTAATGGAAACGCCCGACCAAAACGCCCCAAAGAAGTACATGTACTTCTTTGGGCGTAGGGCAGTTTCCCGCGCGTTCATACTCGCGGAAAAACGCCCAGATGGGAACCATGCACATTGAAAATAATGGCATTTCCCTGTTTGAGCGTTTTTTCGCGAGTACGAAAGCGCGGAAAAACGCCCAGGTGGGAACCGGGCCTAAGCAAAACACTCAAAATCTTTTTTTTCTCTGAGCCAAGGAACTCTGTAGTCATCAGACTGGACAATGCAGGAGCGAGAAACACTCAGTCACCAAATTTGCTCTTACTGTCAGCATATATGCTTGCAGCAAAATCGGATTGGTACCTATGGTTTGAGCACTAAGAGCTCATTTACAAAAATTGAAGAAAAAAGGCAGAGCAAACAGTTTTTTCATTTGAAAGATTTAGCCAGATTGGTTGCCATAGGGAACTGCTCCCCTTTTCATTTAGGGTCCTTTATACCAGTTTCTGTAATGTATGGCAGATATTTATCCGATGAGAAGATAAGATATATGTCTATCCATGATCACAGAGCAACCTATTGCTGTACTCGCCAGATAAAGAAACATCACACACGATTTACTACTATTTGCCGTCTTCTAAATGTAAAGTGGGAAGAGTACACTGTTTCTATTAAAGACTTGATGGCAAAAATGGTTGCTTTGAATGCATGATCTTCAATAGTGATTTTTGTCCTGGGGACCAATAACGAATGGAACAGAAAGTGATAGGAAATCTAAAATGTTGAGTTGTCAACAAAATAAGAGGTAAGGGGAAGCCATCCACATGGTTCTGGT